TCTGAAGGTAGTGACTGCACAGCAGCAGCAAAGAACTGAGGCTAGCAAAACCACAACCCTCCCTACAACTCTTTTGGGTCTGGACCCCTACAATCATGACACCATGAAATTTCAAATTTAAATATCTGAAATCATGAAACTTATAATTTTTTTAAAGTCTATAACCGTGCTATTGACCAAAACGGGTCATGAATTTGGTATCGCCCTACCTATGTCAAAGGGATATTTTTTTTAAATGGGCAAACCTCAAGTTTTTGAGACCTTCAAATGGGAGCCATGTACAAGTGCAAAGTACCATCACCAGACCAGATTCTCATTTCATTAGCACTACATTGATTTATACCAACTAATAGCTAAAACCTATACAAGGATTTTTTTTAAATAAATAACTATTGGGGGGGATAAAATAGATACATGCAAAATCCTAAATTCTTGTCATTAGGAAAAAAAATGTCTTGCCCTTGACAAATGTTAATTGTGGAATAAGATCTTTCATAACAGTTTGCTGCTACCTCAGCAAGTCTGTCTCTCTCTAGTTCTCATCCGCAGGAAATAAGTCACTCAGAACCACAGCATGCAACATCCCTAATGATCTGCTTTCTATTGTCTTCCCTCATGTGAGCCATACCCATCTGTCTATATTAGGGATGTCAAAACGCATTTAATTAAACAAACCTGTAACCGCTGAAAATTTCAAGGGTTACATGGGGGACAGGTGGCATACCAGGAGACTGCAGACAACCGTGACCGGTTAACCAATGAGCCCAGGCTCATTAGTTAACCATGGGGCCCAGGTTCATCGATTAACCGTGCAAACGGTTACACTTTCACATCCCTAATCTGTATCCAACTCCACTTGGCTGCTACTCTTAATGGGCTGGATTTTTTTCTTGTACACTGCAGCACTAACAACATTGGTACGGGTTGAACCTCTCTGGTCCGAGACTCTCTGGTCCGACAAAAATCATTGGTACAGGTTGAACCTCTCTGGTCCGAGAATCTCTGGTCCGACAAAATTGGTGGTCCACAGATGTTGCTGGACCACAGTGCCTGAGCCACAGAGGTTGCTAGTAACTGGGAACTCAGCTAGTCTGGTGGCAGGCAGCCTGCAGGACCAATGGCCTGAGGGCAGGGAGCCTGGCCAGTGGGCCAGTAGCTGAAGCAGGGCTGGCAACTGGCAGCTGGAGTGTGGCCGAGGCAAGGAGCCCCGCTTGCTGGGGGAAGGACTGGCAGCCCAGATTAAAGCCCTGCCAGTGGGCTGAGGGCAGCGCACTGGCTGTGTCAGCAGCCAAGAGGGGAGCCCTGGGAGAATCCCAGGCTGACTTCACCTTGTCCAGCAAACTCCCTTGTTTGTGACCGCACATGTCCCAAGGGTGCTGGTCTAGGGAGGTCCATCCTGTACACAAATTACAATCTATTTAAAAAAAACGAGAAGTCCTGTGGCACTTACTCGACCACCAGATTTATTGGAGCATCAGTTTTCATGGGCAAAGACCCACTTTGTCAAATGCATGTAGTGGAAATTCCAGATGCAGGTATAAAATATACAGGCATAAGAAAAGAGCGTTCCAATCAAGAGAAAGGTTAGAGATAACAAAGTCAATTCAGTCAGGGAAGATAAGGCCCCCTTCTAGTAGCTGATATGGAGGTGTGAACACCAAGGGAGGAGAAACTGCTTTTGTAGTTGGCTAGCCATTCACAGTCTTTGTTTAATCTTGTCACGGCTATCCCTCTGATACAATCTATCTGATGCTGTACAGATATCCAGATGTAGTTCTAGTCTCCAAAATATTTCTGCATGTCCTTGTTGTATTAGGTCAGAAAAGAGTAGCTGTACATTCTTGGTTGGGACCTCTCCCTTACAGAAGGGTACATCCAAAAGTAGCAAACTACTAATGTGCAAGAAATATTAATCAAAACCAAGGTCTTATTTTGCTAGGTGCTGTACAGACTAGGAAGACTGGTCCTTTCTTCCACGAGTTTCTAAATTAAATGAAGATGAGAGACAACTGGTAGATGTAAAAACAATAAGGGAACGAGGACAAGCTACAAGATCACAGAGTTACAAATGGCTGTCTGGTACACAACTTGATAGTTCCAATGCATTTTTGAGAGAGAAAGAAATTAAATAAAGATATCTAATCAAACACCACTAGCCTTCTTCCATTCCTGTGGGCTGCAGGGGTAGATTAAATTAAACCTTTGTATCTGCAAATATCAAAATGATCCATTCAGAATTCTACAACCAGGCCGCTATAGGCACAAACGTGATTTGACCAGATATTGTGCCAATCAGATGGTTGTCTGACTTGGTTGTTTAATGGAAACTGGATTCTAGTCACCTGAAGCCTACCAAAAAAACAAAAAAATAAAAACAAAAAACTTACAACTTCTGACACAACAGATAGGTGAAGATAGTGCTGTTATTAAAAATAATGGTCTCACTCAGCAGTCCCGATCACAACTGGAGCTCCATTGTGCTAGAGAACACACATATGGTCCTTGCACAGTACAGCTTATAATATACAAGTTTGGGTAGCAGCAAACTAGCCTGTACTTATTTTGTCCTTCTACTGTACTTTTTATACATCAAAATCCTTTGGATACAGACCAACTTTTCCTGCACAACATATTTATTGGTGGGCCTGCCTTTAAATAGGAAACTGCAAGCACTTTAGCTAGATTAAATCAGCTAGAAAGTATGGGCAGTTCCATTAAAAAAGCTGCAAGAATATATTGTGTCTTTCCAATGCATCAAATCCTCCAACCATTGTCTTTTAAACTTTCTCCTCAGGATACAAAAGACTCAACCTCCTTTGCATGATTCTACAGCACCAAGTCAGTTACACATACCTCACATCCAACTCTTAATGAGATGTTTGATATTTGGAGTTCTGACCTTGCTTCTATTGAGTTCAATGGGTGTTTTACCAACTACTACTTCAACGGGAGCAGAAATAAGCCCCTATAGTTAAATTAAGCTGTTAGTACTTTATGAACGAGTCTGAAGACACATACATCGTGCTTATGCAATGTTGGTGTTGGAAAGAATGAACAAATGGCTTGATTTAAAACTGGGGTCTTTTGAATGTTACCATTCCATTAAAAGGACATAAAAATCCAAAATATAAGACTAGGAGGTTATGTCCATCAATGGCTAGCCTCTGTTTCTCTGGAGATTGATGATAGGAGAGGGATCATGTGGGGATTACCTATTGTGTTCACTCCCTCTGGGGCATCTGGTATGGGCCACTGTCAGCAGACAGGATACTAGGGTAGATGGACCTTTGCTCTGACCTAGTATGGCCATTCTTATGTAGAACTAGTCCAGATGCCGAAGAGAAAAATGTCCTATCAAAAATGCCATCCCTATAACATCAAAGTTCATCTGCATTTCCTTAAATCAGGAGTCTCAAACTCATGGCCCATGGGCTACGTACAGCCCAAGCAGTTCCACAATCTGGTTCACATGTGGCTGCCAGCATGAGTCCCTGCAGCCTTAGGAGCGAGGCCTGTCCGCACCCTTCCCCCTAGCTCAACCTCCATTAACCCCCCCCCACACACACACACACACACGCCTCTTTCTGCCCCTGCACCACTCTCTCCTCTGCACTACACACCTTCCATCAAGCCCTCTCCACCAAGGGATGCAGCTTCAGTAATTACAGGGGGGCCTGGCATGGAGCTGGAGCAGGAGCCAGGCCCTCCTGCACTCACTGCAGCAGCAGTAGCTGCTGAAAAGAGGAGTCAAGCAGCAGCCTCTGTTCTATTGCCATCTCCCAATCACTCTGCTTCACTAAACTCTGTTAAATTGCCTGGAGGCAGCAGCAGGGGCCAGGAGCCTGGAGAGGGCAGAAGGGAACATGCAGGAGACACACAGAGACACCCCATTTTTCCCCAGGGTCCTGCCAGAGGTGGGTGCCCGCTGGCCCATTAGGAGGATTTGAGGTCTGGCACTGGCCCTAAGTAAACTGAGTTTGAGACCCCAGTTTTAAATCAAGCCATTTGTTCATTCTTCCCAACACCAACAACTTCAGAAAGTTGAAATCTATTTCCATTCCCCACAAAGGGAATTCCAGGTTTCACTGCCCCTTCTGAATGTGTGGCCCAATAATAATGTGGGTTTTGGGGGAACAAGTCGATCATTTTAGCTGTACTGCCAAGGACTCCCTTTTGTCAAAGGGAATTGTAGACAGCAGCTGCTGGGGAGCATATACAGATTTTGCAAACCTCTTCAAAAGCATCCACCACTTCCAATCATGACTTCAATGGCAGAACTATAGCTCATTTTCTCAAAGTGAAATACATTTCCTCCAATAAAATGCTATTTAACTTCTTACAGCAGGGGTTGGCAAAAAGGCCTCTGCGGTCCGGATTTGGCCCGCCAAGCAGGTTGATCCGGCCCGCAGAGGCCCTGCCGCTCCCCTGTCCCCAAGGCCAATTATGTCCTAGGGCCGTGGTCATCAACCCATCGATCGCGAGGTGTTCGGGCACCTCCAACACCCATTTTCCCTCAGCTATCACAATTTACTAATGTATATTCTGTTGTAAACAGTGCTTTTTTTGTTTTAAAAAAAAGGGGTTCTGGTACTTGAGGGGAAAAGTTGTTGAGCTCTGACTGGAGGTGCTAGTATTGTGTCTGGAGGTGCCGGTACCATCACAAAAAAAACACTGGTTGTAACTATCACAATTCTGTAACTTTAGTCTCAAAATAAATAAATAAAATCAGCAAGTGTTATAGGAAACATCCTTTCTGACCAGGCACAAGGCTAATCTATTGCAGGAATTGTTCTGATTAGCTGATCAAGTAGAATTATGAAAAAACACAATTCTAAGATGCACTTCAAAAGAGTAATGCCATTTTATACAAAGAAATTAAGTGCACTTGAACTTCTCTACTCCAGGTGTCCCTACTTCTAGAACATCCATGGTTCAGACCCTGGCAGGAGGGAGGAGGAAGTAGCTCTGAGTACTGCTTTCATCTCCTGACCCCAAATGGGGGAACAGCAACGCACCAAAGGGGTTCACCAGAGGCTTTTCTCCACTATTCCCATAGTAGCAGGAGAGCGGAACCACGTGTACTCCCATACCTAACATGCACTCTCCCTTCCTTCCTCCCAGACCCCGCCCCAGTGCTTTCCATGATCTGCAAAACTTCCTTAAACTGGCATACTGTTTCCCAGGGTTGCCGGATTAAAGAGGTTCAAGGGTAACAAGTTCTAATGTTTGTGATGCCGTTGCTAACACTTTCAAGGCTGAATTGGCACATGCGGCACCTCTGGCTTTTTTTTTCTTGTTTCTGATATAAAGGGATATGCTTAAATGCTCCCATTTTTTTCAGTCTCCCTCCCCGTCCCAAGATACATCTTTTGAAAAGCAGAGCTTCAGGCAACAATATATAAACTAGGGAAGTTAAATTTAGATGAATCAACTAATTGAATAGCCAATGGAATTTCCTACTCGATTAGTCAATAAGGGTGCCTCCGTCTTTGAAATGTACAAGAGCCCTGTGGGGCTCTTGTACATTTCAAAAGCAAAGTGTGCAGGAAGCATGGGACTCAAGCAGTCCTCCACTAGCCTCGTGGCTCCACGCAGCACTTCTGCTTCTGAAATGTAGCAAGAGTCCTAAGTGCTTAGCTCCTTACAGGGTGGGAGGAGACTTCAAATGTTTCCCTGATTGGCCTGGGGGTGGGAGTGCACAAAGTCTCCTCTTAGCCTGCCCCATCCTGAAAGGAGTGCATGGTGCTTAGAAGTGCTGGACCTCTTGCAGGGTGGGAGAAGACTTTGCATGCTCCCCCTTCTGTTCCCAAGCTCTGATTGGCCTGAGGGCGGAGGAGCCTCTTCCTGCCCTGCCAGGGGCATGGGTGCTTAGTGGGAAGGGGGCCCCCACCCCAGACCAATCATGGTCTGGGGGTAGGGAAGCCCGGAAGCATCCTGGCCCTGCCCTTTCTGTTTTAGGCCCCACCCCTTCCGGGGAGGCCCGGGGCCACTTCAAAAAATTTTGCCCACCCCTGTCTTAAAGCAACCATTTGTGAAGACAACAAATAACCCTACTCCTCCAAAAGCAACATTACATTAGATGGCAAGAAAAGGGACTACAGCCACTCTCCGAGTTACGAACAAATTACGGACCAACACTTGGTCCGTAACTCAAACTGTTTGTAACTCGGACCCCATTGAGTTACATGCGACCGCGCTGTTCGTAAGCGCAGGTCGCGTTCGTAACGCGGGGACCGCCTTTACGACCGCTCCATGGGAGCTTTGGTCGTAAGTGTGAACGGTCGTAACTCGACCGTTCGCAACTCGGGGAGCAGCTTAGTTTCCTTTTGTGGGTGAACCAGATCATTTTACAGAAGATCATGCCACAGTATGGCCCTGGTTCTTCCTACATGGAGACCGACAGCACCCAGGCCAAAATAAGAAGCTAAATGACAGGAACAATCCTCCATTAAAATGAGTGGAGTTTTTTGACCTAAAGAAGAGGCAACACCCAAGCAAATCCAAGTGCTAAGTGCCAGTTAAGGCAACATGAAAAGCTTGTGTACATAATATTCAGCTTAGAGAGCACGCTGCATATGAGAAGATGCATATTTGGAAACTGAAAGCTATGATTTTGTTCTATTCATAGCTAACCACCACCTCCCCTCCTGATTAGAAAGTTCTGAAAGGAACAAGGTGGATCAGTTTACAAGCTACGCATGCGTGGTCTTTCCACATTGCTGCAGCACACACACGAGACATTTGTTTTTTAAAAGGACTCCTAACAAGCCACACTGTTTTGCAAAACAAAAAAGGTTTCCTTTCCTCCCTTCCTCATCTTTGAATTCAACCTGGGGACAGCGATAACAGTGTCTGTCTCTGTCTCTGCACTTACATAAAAGGTTGATTAGGTACATCCAAAACAGTGAAACTACTTTGCATGAATGTTGCTAAGACTAAAGTCATTTCCACATTACAAGCACTACAGCACTGCTCTACCTACACCATTGTACGTTCATAAGATAGACTGTAAGAGTTGGGGGTTTTGAGTTACTATAGGAACTCCACCTCTCCAACCAACAGTAGCTAGGTCAATGGAAGCATTCTTCTGTCAGCCAAAGGGAACTGCCTCCCCCTCCCCTCCCCTTCCAGGCATGAGGCTTGCATACTATGATGCTCACTGTGGATTTTTCTCATGCAACTGTCATAGTTCTCCCCCGCCCCCACCTCTGCGCTCCCTTCTCTGTCACCCAAGACTGAATCCCCTGTATCCCTCTTAATACAGGATGCTTCATTCTGTCCTCATAGGTGTTCACTTCGTTCCATTTGATTTAACAGGAATTAGATGCACATATGGAAAAATAGATCTTGACACCAAGTGAAAATCACTTTGGATTTCCAGAGGAGAGGAATTTGGGATTGGTTAAATGTGACATTCCATGCAAGAAACATTCAGGTATCTCAGTGCCACCTATTCCTCCCACAGCAGGGGATGTATTGGTCTAGTTGCATCCACCACTTCCGTTTATCTGAAAATCTGGTGTGTAACTGCATACAGGCTGTAACAGAAAACAGCTCCAGAATATAACCTGTGGCAGTTTATGGTGGTTTCCAGATATATAACAAGCATGTACAATGGTGCTGCAAACTGCACTCCTAACTGCATGCTGAGCTTTTCTCCACAGCCCTCATTTAAAAAAAAAAAAAAAAAAACCCTACGTCTCTGCTGTGTTGTTTAAACTGTGAAAGGCTATGCAATATATTACCATGTCTTTTTGGCATACGTGAATTTAACAAACTTCCTGCCACAAACGTATACCTAGAGTTCTACAAAAACTGATATATTTTTCTATTGCATTGCTGAGAAATAACATGTGATCACACAACTAAAAGCTAATGTGAAGCATATGCATAAGGGGTCAGAATTAAGGTTGTGCGTAGCAGTCTGTACTGACATTTCCTGATTTGGGTGAAGCTAATATTCTCTTCACGTAAAGGTATGGAACTGGTGCTACATCATAATATCAAGACACTGCATTCAGGTTATTTTGTAGCTTTCTTTGACCAACGGCATGTCTAGACTACATCCATCTTTTGAAAGAGGTATGTAAATTAGACAGATCAAAATTGCAAATGAAGATGGGATTTGAATTTCCCATGCTTCATTTACATAACGGCAGCCTCACGTTCGGTTCTTTCGAAAAAAATGGCCGTTTCTCTTTTGAAAAGCCCTTTTTTGAAAGAACGCGTGGCCCCCATTATGCAAATGAAGCACGGGAAATTCAAATCCCAGCTTCATTTGCAATTTCAACCTGTCTAATATACATCCCTCTTTCGAAAGAGGGATGAAGTATAGACATACCCTAAGTGTAATGTCCAATTTTCTTACCTCCCTCCCCAACCATTTTGATAGGAGGAAGTGCAGGGTTGTGAGCTCTCTTTTCTTCTTCTTCCGTCCTCCTTTCATTACTGAAATAAGAGGAAGTTTCAGCAGCTTCTCATTTCTGTGATGGGGTGGACGAAGATAGAACACTCTCTGAATTGCTTCATACAAGTCAGGCAGGAGTGATTGTTAAAGGGATACCATCGACTTAAGTAGAACACTTCTGTCTGGAAACTTCTTAGTTATTGTTGTGACAAGTGCAAGTAAATGACAACTGGAGAAAATGCTTTTCTCCATTTCTCAGTGTTACTGTGTGCATTTGACAGTATTTTGTGTACAGCTATTTCCACCATTTGCCCTGTAAGGAGAGTTTCCCCTTTCGTTCTTGTGGGGTTTTCACATAACAGAGGAGAGAGAAAAACTACTTCTAAAAAACCCCAGAAAGAATGTGATTGCAAAGCCACAAAAGTTGGCAGGCGTCTGGGATGGCCGAGAAGCCATAGGACCTGAAATTACCTAGAATTCAGTTTTTAAAAACTGACAAGATTTCATATTGACAGTGTCCCTTTAAAGCACCAAACTGATCACAGGAAATCTGGGCGTGACTCACAGCTCTGTAACAAGCATCCTGCACAAACCTGGGCATGTCACAGGGATTAGGGGATATTCATTCCTCCAGTCCCACACCCTTGTGAAGCTCTTCTACAGAAGAAAAACATTAAGAACTAAGTATTATTTAGGATCTGCGTTTTCAGGGACTGAGTACCAACAACAGCCCCCACTGATTTTGATGGGATTAAAAAATAGCTATTTCTGTCCTAGTTTACTCCTTTGCAAAATGAGCATTAATATTATTTCTCTCTCAGGAGGATATTATGAAGCTTAATTTACTAAAGTTGGAAAAATGTTCTAATATTAATGGATGGGAGGCATTAGAGAAGTGAAAACTATTAACATCATCAGACCAATTGGGCTGTGTCTAGACTACATCCTTTTTTCGGTAAAGGGATGTAAATTAGTCACATTGATATTGCAAATAAAGCCGGGATTTAAATATTCCACGCTTTATTTGCATAATGGCAACTGCTGCTTTTTTTTCAAAATAGGACTTTTTCCAAAAAAAACGCAATTTAGACAGGAATCTTTCAAAAATAAAACCCTTTTTCAAGAGATCCTATAAACCTCATTTTTTGAGGAATACAAAAACTTTCGAAAAAGGGTTTTATTTTCAAAAGATTCCCATCTAAACTGCTAGGGTTTTTTCAAAATGCCCCGTTTTGAAAAAAAAACAGCAGCCGCCATTATGCAAATGAAGCATGGGATATTTAAATCCCAGCTTCATTTGCAATACCAACGTACCTAATTTACATCTCTTTACTGAAAAAGGGATGTAGTCTAGACGTTCCCCTACAGATAAAGGCTGTGTCTACACTACAGAGTTTTTCCTGGGATAAACTCTGCGTCTGGGGAATGTATCCACTTTTTTGGATCAGTTTCCAAAAAAAGGGGGGGGGGTGCGTCTGGGGAATGTATCCACTTTTTTGGATCAATTTCCAAAAAAAGGGGGGGAGGCGCACTCTTTCAGAAGCCCTGTATTACTCATTTTATGAGGAATAAGGGCTCTTCCAAAAGAGGAGGTTTTTCCCATATTTGGCCCCGTGTAGACGGGCCAAATGTCAGAAAAGCCTCTTCCCAAAAAAGAATCGGAAAAAGCTACACAATTTGCATTTTGCATACCTTTTTCCAAAAAATAACTGCAGTGTAGACATCACCAAAGAGAGCTTCATGCCAGGCTCTATATGGTCAAATGGAGTACAAGGGTCACAAGTTGATTCCCATTACTGTTGAGAACCTCGCTGGCAGGACTCAAAGCCAGCATGAGGAAATTAAACTGGAGACAAATGAACTTCAATGGCTGACTTTGTTTCTTCATCTTACAGTCACATACATCTGTGATAACTAACACCACAAAGCTGCCTGTTCTTAACTCAATATACAAGGTGCTTCAACACCACAATCACCTGTACCATTACCCTCCTAAAGCTCGATTCTGCATTCATGGTTTAACATACATTGTTAAAAAAAAATCAACTACTGTGCACATGTTGATTTTACGAGATGTATAGATCTTCATTGCAGCACATCACAGAATTGAACTGATTTCTGCTTGTTCTGACAGTAATCAAGCAGAAATAAGACAGTGTCACTCAAAAGAAAGTTAAATTACACACATACAGTATATTATTTTGATTTCATGCCCTTTTTTGGTAACAGCGGCACTCACTTTTAGCTCACAGGAGGAGAGATTAGTTCCCTTCTCTCTCCAGCACAAACTTTTTTTCCAGACAGATGGGACTGAACAGCATCCTGGAAAGCTAAAAATATTTTCTGGTAATTCTTTCTGTGTTTGATCCAGACAAAAAAAAATGGATATACTTGGGAGCACTGGAATGAAAGGGTATGTATGTTTGTATTATTGCAAGAAGGGTGTCAGAGCAGGGCATGTTTACAGTCGGCTTCTGCAAAGCATAGTTATGAGGAGGGACTGTCTTTAAGTGTTATGTAGGTTTACAACAGTATCTAATGTACAGTGGAGAATTTCCTTTTGGGGATGGATGGGTTGTGTTTAATTTAGTATTAAAAAAACATCAGCTTTAACAGACAATTGCCATCATCAAGGCAAAATCTCCTTCATGGGGCTGTTATGTTGTGTGTGATTTAAAAGCAACTTTATAAAGTATACATTTTTACAGAACGCCTTGAGACTAGCACATGTATACATGGGTGTGCACTGCTGTTTGCATGGGTGTGTCTCAGGCTGCGTGTCTGCAAAACTGGGTGCAGAGCAGAGATTAAGAAAAACCACATTTCCTACCTAATGCAACTGTCATCACAAGACTGCTTTAAAGTATCGACAGAATAGCATACTAAGGGGCCTGATTTTTCAGAAGTGCTAGGCATCTACAGCTTCTGCTGACTTTCAAATGCAGTGGTGGGTGCTTGACACTTCTGAAAAAAAATCAAGCCCTTTGATTTAGGCATCATAAGATCATGCTGTAAACAGAAAAAAAAAGCATCTATTTTCTAATCACTCTGCACATACATCAGTCGTATTAACATTAATGGAAGTGGCACAAAACTTTTACCAGGATGAAGAATGTGGATTATGACAACACCTCTCCAACTGTACTGTACCAAGAATGAAACTGGGTATCTTTTATGCTTCCAATGGGACAGTGCACCTCACAGGAAGACTAGCATACATAGTTAAAAAACACAATATCCATTTTGGATTTAAATGTTTACAAACTTTAAAAAGTAATCAAAGTAAGTGGAACACAGACTAATTCATAATTTATTTTTACACTGCACTTTTCATCAGTATATATGACCAGCTACCCAAGTACGTGCACGTTCATCAGTATATATGACCAGCTACCCAAGTACGCGCACGTGCACACACACACACACCTTTTGACTGTCAAGGCTTCTGGAATTGAACACTTTTGTCTTCTGCATCTTAGACAGACGTGTGAAGATCCTGTCCCCCAGTCCCAAATGTCTATAATTCTAGATCTATACACTTTAATCTCCCTGCCATTCTCCACGACACACATCATAGTCACAACCATCCTAGGGAAGAATAGATGCAGTTCCCTTCAGGGCACATCAAAGCTGCTCCATAAAATATTCAGTAAGGTCACTTTGGGCAACACAAGGAGCTTCCTTTCCATGCCTCACCATGAGGAATAGTGTGCTGTCTCCACATCAGTGTTTTGATTTTTTTTATATTGCAAGAAGCACAATATAAACCTGATGGGCCCCAGCACAAGCAAAGAAAAACACTAGGGCCTCACATTTTATTATCTCTCAAAGAAGCACTACTTACTTGGGTGCTACCTTGCCCCTGTAAAAGAGAGGCAGGAATCTAAATATTTCCACAAACTGTACGACAATAACTAAGACCTCAGGAGGAATAAGACAGGAAAACTTCCTCAGTTTCATACATGAAGACAGAAGATATGAAAGCCTAGTGCATGGCATACCTCACCCATGCTGAGAAAGCAAGAAAGAAAATCATTCCAACATCAGGGACTAAAGACATAATACCACGGAGAATGGAGAGGTAGGGGGAGAGTGAGAGTGGGAATTTTGTTGACAAAAAGCAAACACAATAAGAAAGCCCAGTCCTTCTGAAGTTGGCAAACAAGACCTAGTTAAATCCCAACTAATCTCTATTGAAAGTAGCACAGTGCAGCCTTACAGAAAACACTACATGCAAAAAATTCTCAATGCAAGTCAGTAGGGGTTCAAACTCATACAGAAGAAAAAGAACCCGCAAGGAGCTGCTACGGTACCTGGATTTCAGCAGCTCCAGAGGTCATTCAGTTTCCTCTTTGCTGTGCTGACAGGGCACAAAAAAAAACCCAAAACCTGTAAAACTCAGAGCTTCAGAAAGCAGTTTCCCCACACAGGTTTAAATAGATCCCCTCACTCTCCTTTTAACTTCTCAGAACAATCCATGGAGGGCTGCTATGGCGACGAAGCAATTAAACCCATCGTTCTGGGCTGATCAAGAAGCCAGCAGGAGAAGCAGAATCTGTAATAGTTTGTTGTCAGTGATCAAACCCTACTCCTTGCCAGCAAAAACAGAACCAGCCAAGCAGTAGGCACTGGCTCATTCGCCTGCTCTCGCTCTGTGAGCAGAGAACAGCCTTGACTGACTGTGTGCTGGAGGATGTGGGGGCGGACTTTAAAGAGGGCCAACTCCGTGGGCCTCTCTCTGCCAATCAAAGGCCTGGGACTCCTGGCAACAGCAGCACACAACCTAAGTGAGTGCAGTACATGGGAACTGCTGCAGCAGTACTAGTTCAATGCAGGCCATGCTGATGAAAGGCTCAAAGGCAGGATGTCTTCTTCCCTCCCCAACCCCTACTCCCATCTACTGGGCATGACAGCACTGCACCTCACTGACAAGAACAGCTGTCGAGCAATTTTAGTCTCAGTTAACATTCAGTGTATGCGGTCATCACTGTTTGATATTTAAGCTATTTGACACTACCTTTTTCATGGTGCACATTTTGAGGGGCCCTCAACTGCTCTTGGATAGGAAAGGGGGAAAGTGAAGGGGTAGCAGAGATGGAGCAAAAGCTATTTGTCTCTTCATCTGGATCTCCCAAGGGCATGGAATCTCTGAACAGCCCAGAATAGGATCGATGTGTCTAGCCTAAAACTAGACTGAAAATGGTTAAAGAAGAGGGAAAGGGGAGAAAAGGATGACACATTTTTTCACTCCTGAAATGTTAAAAGCAGCTGAACACCTGATTACAAAATGCAATTTCTTACCCTTTTAAGCATGAAAAATGAGAGGACAGTGATCACGAAGAAAAGTGGCACACACAATCCAGGCACTGGTCTCAATCCTATGCAGTTTTGAATGAGAGCTACCCCATTGGAGTAGAAAAACAAAATTATTTATTTCCCAAATGCACACGTGCCCAGCTTGAGTGTCTTAGTTTTAACCGATGCTTTTAAAATTGACTACTTTCTACTATCTCTCAGAGCATTTCTTTGGATCCTTCTAGATGAATTTGCTGAAACCTAGAAATGTCATGCTTCCCACATGAGGCTAACATTTACACATCATATCAACCTCACTTGACCCACTCTCCACACCAGCTTTCCTTCCCCTGCATGCCCCTTCCCCTTTAACATCTCCCCTTCCTTCCATTCCTACCCATTTATCTAATCTTCCTCTAACAAACTGACACCTAAAAATAGATATGTCAGTTTTTAAAAAGCCAAACAATTATGGAACTATCATGCTGATTGGAGACCATCACACTGTTCACTCTATTTGTACATTATGTCTCATTCCTCTACCTCTTGTCCATCTTGTCTATTCAGACTTAGCTCCTCAGGGCAGAAACTGACTCCCATTCTAACTTTATATTGTGCCTAGCACCGAAGAGCCCTGATCTTGGTGATCTCTAAACTCCTCCCTTAGGGAATCTATGAATTTCTTTTTTTAAAGGTACTTAACTTTTAAAGGTAATTAACTCCTTCCATTTATACCAGGACATTTGAAAACAAAGGCAGTTTACTGAAACCAGGAAAGACATGTTATTACAATGAATTCAAGCAGAATGCATCTAACCAAAATTTACAGGCCCAGTATAAAGCAGGCCCCTCTTCCTTGGTATCACTGCAACCACATCCACCCGCCCCTTTTTCCACACTTCCTCATCGTTCTTAGTGTCCTCATCCAGCTAGGCACCCACACGCATTCATCTCAATTAAGCATGTGAAGAAGTGGGTAACTGACTAATCATGTAATTAATACAATTTGTACTGAGTACACGATTAGTCGATAAGCTGTGGCTCTACAGTTTAAATGTAGCAGGAGCCAGATGCACAGGCAGCCCAGTTCCTACTACATTTAAACTCCAGAGCTTCAGTGGGGTAGGTCCAGGACCTGGTGCGAGCTGGGACTTAGCAGTCCCAGTTCACACCAGGTCCCAAGCCACTTTGGCTCGGTTTTAAATGTAGTAAGAACTGCCAGGCTCTTATTACATCTAAAAGGCAAAGCCACAGCAGGGGACCAGGTACAAGCAAGGACTCAGCAGTCCCAGCTCAAGCCAGGTCCGAGACCACTGAGGCTCTGCACCCGGCCCAATGATTTAAAAGGCAGAGCTGCAGCATGAGCGACTGCCAGAGCAGACGTGAGCCAAGACTGAGCAGTCCTGGCTCCTACCGCCTCCAGTGGCTCTGCTTCCCCTTCCCCCCACTCCATGTACTGCAGAAACAGTGCTGGGAGTAACTGGCTTTTAAGTGGCTCCTCCCCACACTAGTTCCTGCTCCCACCCACGCTGCCTCTGATACAGAGGCAGCTGGGCAGGGGGGAGTGAGTAGTCAAGTAGTGATTTGACTAGTCGCTTACATCCCTAATCTCAATTCAATAATACTTCACTGATATGACAAACTATATGAATAATGCCAAAGCATGAGCCATACACAGTGTTCTACTTTCGCTCTCAGAGGGAGGTGCTGTCTGCCCAGGATGGAGCAGTCCCCCTAAAAGACATGCTGTAGTCTCTCACATTTTCTATTAAGTTTGCATGTTGTAACTGTACTCAGTGAGATGACATTAACAAAAATAATTTTGGATCAAAAGTAGAGATCCATTATCCAATGCAACTGACCACTTCATGCAAGATGGAATCTGCAGTCAAATTCTATTTTTGAATGGTGCTATATTATTTAAGAGCACAAAGAGAGACAACAGCTCACTAGACTGCTGTGCTCTCCGTCATCTGTTCAACATCACATAGTTCTCTTTTTTCCTTTCAACACCCTGAAAGTCTACTCCTTATATCTCCCATGGTTGGCAACTGCAGAAAACCGAGGGACCAGTACAACATTAGGTCTTCCACTCCCTTGCTCTGTGGGAGTGCGCAACACATGGCAGCAGGAAACAATACATTGCTTCTAAAGAGTCAAGACTGACAGCTGCTAGGTGAACACATTGTACAAGTGGATCAGAAGATGGCACAGCATTGTAGGTGAGCATTCTCCTTCCTATGAGGATGGCACCGAAAGGTAAAAACAGCCAGCGCTAGGCATAAGCACCCTAAACCATTGCTTGAGGCCCCCATTCATTTTTTTTAATTCATTTTTTAGTGGGTGGATCCCCAGTGAGCTAGTGCCACCTCTGGGCAAAAGTATTATAAGGGAAGCAGAGTGAGGAGACTCTCAAAATGAAAAAAAGAGAGAGACATATTCAGGCCTCAGTACAACTCAGTCTAGTCCAGACAGAAAGAAGTATTTCAATAGCTAAAAGGCAATTACCAGACATGCAATTACCAGACTAAACAGAGGCATACTGCATGGTCTCAGGCAGTGTTCCCTCTAAGATTTTCCATCCAGGAGCAGAATGAATTTTGTCTTGTGCACCAATATTGAGGTTACATGTGCTCAATAGGATGTGTGCTACTGTGGCACCCAAGTCACTAACAAATAACTTGGATATATTTTTGAGATGCCATGGGGGAAAAAAATACTAAAACAAGAGAATTAACAAGGTGCGTGACTTTAAATGTTTATTTAAATGAAGTCAAATAAAAAAATATTTAATTTAAAATGTAATATTTAATTTAACATTGGCAAAGTTTTTAGTAGCCAACTTCCTCTGTTTATAGCCTTCTATTAGACCCTCCCCCAGCTGGGCTTCCTCCTCAATTAAATCTGGTTCTCCTTTCAGAGAACTATGTTAACTGGCCTTTCAGAGTAACATTTTCTGAACTTGTGTAGAGTACACTCTCCATTGCACACCTGGACAATGGGAATATTTCTCCCCATTCACATTGAGTCTCAGGTCTATATTTTATTTTGGATCAGAGGTGAAGTCAATCCAGTGACTCCCTACCACTGCCCTCAGTTCTTTTTATTTAGACCGTTCTTTTTATATATTACACATAAATAGGCAACTTAGAAAACATAGTTACCTGGAATGCTTGCTCTGCACTCAAGACATTAATCAGAGAGCTTTAGCTCTGATTTATCGAGTGCAGATTTCCCTGTCTGATTTGATCAACTCACAAGCATTCTTCAAAGCTTAAATGTCTATTAATACATTTATAAGAAAGGTGACAAATAATATTCTTTGCTTTATGCCAGAGTGCACAGGCTGTCCAGCAGTAACTCGGACAGCTCTGTGTCATGATGGCCTGTGCATTCAGGACTCATGAGTGGCTGGGCAAGGCAACTAAATCCTGTGCAGCCTTCCTGGAATTCTGGTGTATGTTAGGGATGTGAACGACTAGTTGCTCTCTCCCCCACCCTCGCTACTTCTATCAGAAAGAGGAGGGGGTGCTTCTAAGCAGCAGCGCCCCAGGAAGCCTGGGGCCAGACCCTGGACTCCACACAGCACTGCTGCTTTGAAATGGTGCATGCAGCCTGGGCCCAGCTAGAAGTCCCCCACTGGCCCTGTGCTCCCTGCAGCGCTTTTGCCTTTCAAATGTAGCAACAGCACTGGGGCTGTTGCTACACTTCAAAGACAGAGGCGCCCTTCTTGACTAATCAAATAGTCGATGCAAATTCGGTATTTGGCCAGTAAAAAAAAGATTAACTCCAGCTGAGTGCACAACCTCCCCCTGCAAAATTGCTTCAGGTAAGAGCTGTATGATTAGCTGCAACAGCTGCTTGGGAGACAGGTGAGGAGAGTGCTGAACCCACTCCTGCTTACTCTTGGCCCTAGGACTGGCTCCAGCTGTTGTCACGCGGCTCCCAGCTTTGGGACTGCTGCAGCGCAGCCCCTAGCTCTGGGACTGACTCCGGGACTGGCTCTGTCCACCAACACGTGGCCCCCAGCTCTGGGAACAGCCTCATCCGCCACCACGCAGCCCCAAGCTCCGGCTGCACCATGGGCCCCATCCACCACTAAACAGCCTGCAGCTCTGGGACGGCTCCGGCCACCACCGCACGGCCTCAACCCTGGGACTGGCTCCAGCTGCAACTCCAGCAGCCTCCATGCAACCTTGGTCCCCCACTCTCCCACCCACTGCCAGCAGCTTTGCTTCCATGATGTGGAAGCAGAGTGCTGCTGTGCAGCTCTGCTGATGAGGCGGGGGGGAGGGGATTTTTGTGCACACCCCTGCAGGCGTGCACCCTAGAGGGAACCCTGGTCTCAGGGAACCTGCACAGAGAGGAGCTGGATGGCCATCTCTCCTCTCCACCAT